TAGATTGATATCAAAGAAAGTTTTGACTTGGTCTCGCTGGTGGGTCAAATCATCATGGAACATTGTCATTTCCTGGACGAGCTCAGGAAAAAGATTGTCACAGGCAAAATCTGCTGTTTGATCTGCTACATGATTACCTAAGGCACGATACAGAAGAAGGTTGTCCTGCACTTCATTCAGCTTTTGATGCGCCTTAATTTTAAAGACTCGCTTCAAAGGTGACATACTGCGGAAAAACAGCTGCAACAGGTCAAAATCATCATGATCCGACAACTCTTCTAAATGGGTAGCTCTTCGACACTTCTCAATCAGGTCAATGGCTGAAGCACTATCTGTGTAAACCTGAAATTGCACAAGCTGCTCAAATAAAACCAGGATAGCTTGAAGTTCTGCTCTGTGAATGGCCTGTCGTCCTCTAGTGCGACCTACTGTAACTTTCTGCAGAGTCCAAGGAATCTGTCCAGTAGTTTTAAAAATAGCCGCAAGGTCTCTTCGTTGACTGTCATCTACTGTAAGGTCTGCAATGACCGAAAAAGCAGAAAAACATGTGCAAGGAGAAGTAGGATATTTACAGCTTCCATCAGTGAAGAAAACAGGATCACTTATACCTGCTTCAACAAGTCGTTGCAAGATAGTGGCATTGATTTCTGGTTTCGGCATCGCATCAACAATTGCATCATGAAACTCATAGTGAGGGTGCAAGTGGATTGCAGGCAAATCAACAAGCAATGGATTCTCTTCCTCCAACTGTTCCAGAAATTCACCCCAGGGAGCCCGAACGTCTTGAAAAGACATGCAATGGAAAAACCTATGCATCTTAGTGTCTTCAGCTGCTCCGCAAAAGGTGCATATTCCAGTTGACTCATTCCACTTGCACTGTTGCATTTGGGTTTGGTATCCACTAGCAAGTTCACGCAGGCAAAGAAGTCGCTGTTTTGGTCTATACTTCCGCAAGAGTCTAACCATTTCAGATTGATTGAGAGGTGGCAAGTTATATAGTTGAGTCCGCTGGGTTTGAAACATGAAGAGTTGGGCAGACCAAGCTTGCCTCAAGAAATAACAGATATCACTTAAGTTATCCTCAACCAGGTTACAGGTTTTTAAGGCGGTCATCTGAATCAAACCACTATTTGAACATTTGAGGCCCAAGCGTTGGAGATATTCTCGGAAAGCACTGGCAGGTCCTTGTGACAGTCCTACTTTCGTGGATGGCTGTGAAAGGATGTCAAGGAAGGCCTGTTTCGTCTCAGCATCTGCTTGTCGCAAGAAGCGTCTGGCTTGTTTGGCGGCTTGAGTGATAACACGAATGCATGGATCTATGTCACGGCTATCCACACAGTGAAGAAAAATACTGGAGCTCATCGAATGCAAAGTTTCTCCGACCAACGCATCTGCGATTAAGGTCCGGAGGTTGGTGAGATTTCTTTGACCTACTGCCAACAATTCCATACCATACAAGGCAAGTGGTAAAACTGAAGCTTGCACTACATGTGTCTTAACTGGCAAAGCCCAGTTACTAAGCTTGACAACTTCTAGGCGTTTCTTGGCTTGCTCCAGGCGGTCATGGATGATACCAAGCTTTGCATTGCCATGGTATGTCATCTGGCATCCAAGATCAGTGGCAGTGGCTTGAACTCGGGGTGCTTCAACATTTAAGGTCTGATGCACAAGTTGGCTCATGCGCGCAGCTCCAGTGGATCCTGTGGTCCAGCACCATGTCTTATCCCAGCTTATTTCTAAACCTAACCATGAGACAAAGTCATCAGTGGTGCGTATGGTACATGGATCGAGGTGTTGATCTGGTAACCACCATGTCCAGTTGTCAGCATAGGCTGTAGAGCTGGCATAAGGTGAGGCGGCTTCCAACACATGCCCCCAATTGGCTGCAACTGCAAGCATAGCAAGAACACTCCAGCTATCACCTTCCGGGCAGCCAGTTGTTGTGGTGGTTGGGGAGCTAGTCTGTTGGGCGACATCCCAAAACCTGGTCATGCCACGGATTGAATTGGCCCATTTTTGAACTAGCCTCATTGGAATGCCAAGTGCATGCAATAGCAATTGTACTTTTGATCTATTCAAAAGGTTGAAACACTTCCGGAGGTCAAGTGTGAGGCCAGTGATGTTCACATCGGTTTTCCTTTGAGTTTCAAGAAGTGTTTGCATGATGTAGGTGGCAGTTAGCGCACCTCTTGCAGGCAGCATGCCGGTTATGGACCTGGGCATTAATTGTGCAAAGTGCTGCAGACACCTACGAGCACAAACTTTTCCCCAGAGTCTGTAAAGGGTGGCCAAAATCGTAATGGGACGGCAATTTTCCGGTGTCAACACTTCTTTTTTTGGAATAGGGACAGTTCTTGCCAACATCATGGTTGGGGAAAAAAATCCATGGAACAAATTATCTTCACCAGTATCTCCAAGAGATTGTCGGGTATCATTTTGAGTTCCTTAAAGCAAAACCCGTCCGAACCAGGGGCGGAGTTGGCTTTGGCATTTTTGATGGCAAATTTCCATTCTTGGAGGTTGTCTTCAAAGTTATCATCAAGGTGTGGAAAAGATAGCATGTCACAATGGAAAGTGTCATGAAAGTTGACATCATCTTCGTGGTTTGTCCTATTCCAGAGGGGCATCCAATATGCATTGAGAGCATCAAAAACCTCTTCCTGGTGGAAAGTGTCTCCAGTTTGGCAGATTTCTACCTCTTCCGGCAGGCTGTCAACTGTTGGCGGCATGTCAACAATGAGTGAATGGTCCTCAATTCGCAAGATCTTGCAAGCATGTTCATGAACTTGCAAAGGCAACAAGGCGGTGTAGCGATCAGGACGCTCGACAAAACACTCGTGGATATTGGCATCTACATGGATGATCACCGCAAGTTCTTTATGGTGCTTGTTAACATGGTGGAAAGGCTTATACTCATGTCTTTTAAGTGCCGCAAAAACATTTTTCATATGATTGGTTTCGCAGTCAATGAGGTGTTTCATTTCCATCTTCTTTTTCCGCAGCTTCTGTTCTTCATGCACGATTCTTTGAAGTTCTTGGTCGAGAAACTGCTGCGCTGTCACAAGCCAATCAACCGTAGGAAGGTCGAAAGGCAAAGGATAGAGCTCAGGAATGTCGCTCACCCATTCTCGAAAGGATTTAGAGTGGAATCTCCAGTAGCAAATTGCGTTCCATTCCTGATACAACTCCAGCATGGTTTTAGTAGTGGTGAATGATTGTTTTTGACAAAAAGAAAAACGCTTTTGTAATGAAGAAAGTCTCCTAATCTGCTTGACAACATGCTTACTCTGGTAGCTGGCAGATTCGCAGTTGATGTTGTAATCACTTTGTCTGGCCTGCTTCACTGGAGTGACAAGTGGAATTCGAATGAATTTTGGATCAGTGCATCGTCCTTTAAATCTTTTTGGCAATTTTGGCAAGGGTTGCAAAGTTGGATTTTTGGCATGTTCTACTTGAATGGCATGGTCAACGGTGGCTTCAACTAGCTGTGCCCACTGCAAAAGGTTAGTGGGCTCGGGGTGTTGGCAAATGACTTGCGCTGATGCTTGGAGATCACTACTATCAATTGGAAGTTCCGTCCAGGATTTCGGTGTCTTAAGCCTGGTTGTGAAAAGTTCTTGGCCCGGAATGTGAAAGGAAATCACCACTGGTGCATGTGCATCAAAGAGGGCTTGGTTATCAACCGTAAATCCCTGCATTCTTTGGACAAGCATCGGATGCACAATTGCAGTATCGGGTGTTGTCACTCCCTTACACGTAGGGGGCATTGGAGATTGATAATACATTTCATGGATCATCTGAAGAGAAAGAAATCCTTTGGCATGCAAAGCTGGGAACATTTCAAGTTGGTGGACATCCATGTTAAAGTCTCCCAGAAAGATGGTGGGGAGGTTAATGGTGTTAGCCATTTGGATAGCATGGGCAAACAAAGTGTTGGTGGCTTGACGGTGCCAGGCATTACCTCCCGTATAACCGTAGATCACAATAATTTGCACATACATCATTCCCCACTGTATCACTGCATGTACCAGGCGGTCAGCATCTGCTTTAGGTTTGAGATCTTGGCTTTTCGCAGCACGTATAGGCCATTTTGAGTGAACGGATGTTCCACCTGCACGGCCTCTCAAGGAAGGTTGGTCGCAAATTTTCTGCTTTTGGGGTTCAACAGGTTCCGACCAAACAGACTTAAGTTGCAGGGATCTAAGTTTAGCCGCCATGGTTTTTTGGATGTCTTTGGTGGCGGTTGTTTCAGCACAACAAAAGGTGTCAACTGCATGAGTTTTCATCAACACCCGAAATTCCTCATGTTTGTTTCTAATGGCTGTTGGATTAAGGATGGCAATAGTGGCAGTTACACTACGCTTTCTTCGAGAATGGTCATTAGGGCCAGGGTTGCTGGCTTCCCCTACCCGCATTGTTCGAAAGCAATCAAAGTTCCGACCCTGATGGCATTTGGGCACCCGAAAAATGAAAAGAAGGCAATTTTCTGCTTCCTGTCTGAGCTTCGGATGGAAATGCATGGCCAAAATGGCGCTCTTTCTTCGAGAATGGTCATTAGGGCCAGGGTTGCTGGCTTCCTCTACCCGCATTGTTCGAAAGCGATCAAAGTTCTGACCCTGATGGCTTGTGGGCACCCGAAAAATGAAAAGAAGGCAATTTTCTGCTTCCTGTCTGAGCTTCGGATGGAAATGCATGGCCAAAATGGCACTTTGAATTGGCAAGGATCCCCAATGTTCTATCACTGGATGATCTGTCGCACAAGAATGGCACGTAGGCAATCTGTACATAACATTCCAAATGGCAATTACTTCTACCAACAGGTGGTGGCGAAAGTGTATGCATAACTTTTCAATTAGTCCTCCATGTCGTTGGGATTGGACTTGGCATGGTGGCTCATTACAAAGATTGTGCTGTATCCAAACGACATCAGCTTGGCAACAAAAAGAACAAACCCCCTGGTTTGTGTATCCCCTGCTCATTTGGTTTGTCTGGAAGGCAAGTCAACCTTCCATACCGTCATCTCCATCTGCAGAACGAGTGCGTTTTGGCTTGGCCTGCAACAAGGTCCTGAGTTCACCCAAAGTGCTGTTGAGTTGCAAGGACTGCTGACTGATAGCTTGCTGAAAGGATGATTCCAAGTCAGTTTTCACTGCATTGATGGCCGCTTGCATCTGCATCTGCGTTTGCTGCTCTCGCTGCTGCACATTTTGAAATTCTTGCTTGGTGTCACTCTGAAGCTGCATGAGGGCCTTCTCAATTTTCTGGATCTGCTCACCCTGGGAGTTGAGCTTGGCTGCGTGCTCTTGGAACTTGGCTTCTGTAGGTCCTGTGAGGTCCTTCGGTTGTGCTGGCTGCATCTTGTTAGCATTGTATCCAGCCCAAGGATCAAAGTGAGGGCTGGTCTGGTCCATTGACGCACTTGACATGGCATTGCGATCAACTTTACGTGGCATTGGTCCTGCTACGATCGGATTCCCATTTGCAGTGTCTTTCGGAGGCAAATGCTTGATGAGAATGGGACGATTATTGAACAGCTGAAGACCTGGTGGTGGCATATCGCAACTACCAATGAGCCAGGAATTGGGACCCAGCGCTTTGATTGCCTTGAAAGTCCAACCAATATTGTTGGCCCACTGCTCAAGCATTGCCGCAGTGGTACCATATGGCAAACTCTGCAGTTGGAACATGTGGTGAACCTCTTGAACCTTAGGTGCTTCCTTTCCAGGGAAAATCACAGCCCAAGCCCGGTCAAAGTCTTTGGATGAGAAGCGAAGACCCATCGACTTTTGATTCTTCACCAAACCTGCACAGCAAGACGTTTTTGATGCAAGGCTCGTCAAATGGGCAATTGAACCTTCTACCCATACAATTCTCCAGGATGTGTCAAGGCGACCTTGATTGTTCTTAGGGGTCAACCACAACTTATTAAATCCGGATGCATTCAAGGCTTCGAGGATTCGGTCTCCAGCAATGGTGGCATGGAACTGTACACTAGTTGCATGATAACTAGTGGTTGGCATCCTGTCTTTGCGAACGGATTTTCCCCATGTGGACTGCAAAAGATCGGAAAGCCCCTGCGCAGCAAGAATTTGACGGGCATAAGAGAATGGCTGATCCACAATCTGCTTCCATTCATCAACTGACCAATCCTCTTTCCAATAGGTGATCGACACTGTACTGCATGATTGTTCATCAATGATTGGCATTTCTGAGACATGGGTTCGTACCACCTTCTCTCCAAGTTGCACCAGGGTCGCTTTAAGGATGACTGGCCTGGAATCTGAGTCTTGGCATGGCACATGAAGGCATTGTGTCTTGAGCGTCGCCTGAAGATTCTCATGGTGTCCTAGGATTACCATAGCAAGCTCATCAGCAGAAATAATCTGCTGCTCTCGAAGCCATGGGAGGGCTTGATCAAAGCTCATGAGCATGACCCCGCAGCTCTTGTGTCTGATTTCATGGAGTTGCGGAAGCTTTTCATCATTTTCTGCAAGGAAGAACGAAGGCTCAATCCGATAATCTGCAGGGTTGACATTGATTGCAACACGCTTTCTGGCTTTGTTCATGCCTACCTGTGCAACTTTCTGTGCTGACTTGGAGACTGCAAGTGGTGGCGAAAGTTCACATTGTTCACAAAGCTGCAAGATGCTGTCAAGACGTTGTTTGCCCGGAGGCAAGTTTGAGACCTGTGTGATTTGCTTCAATCCAACCAACGCAACAAGTTTCTCCGTTGCTTCACTGACCCAGTTGAAAGGAAATCCTTGCTCAAGCAAAGTGGCAGCAAGACTATTTCTCACATAGGTCTTCTGATTGTCCTTTGTGCCTGCACCTCCACTCATCTCTTTCATAAGCTGGATCATCACAAAGTTCGCATGTGTTTCCGAAAGGAGCTGTTCAATCGAAACATTGCAGCATTGCTTGGCTTTGTGAATCATGCGCATGTCCCTACCAAGGAGTTCAGGAAAGCATGTGAGTTGAAGCAAAGATCCAATCAGCTGTGCATTCACATCTCCTACCAACAAACCATCCCAGATTGCTTTGGATTGCCACTTCAAAATGACCCTGGTTCCATTGGGATCACTGAGTGTATCAAAAATCTGACGCGTGGCAGCAATTGACAGAATTCTGGCAATGGCGGATGCAGGAATGGGCAAGGAAGAGGAATATGTCACTACTCCTCCATTCGGCAGAAGCTGCGTATGGGTGGTCATCTTCAAATGATCACGTGTCTTTGCATCAAGAACATTGGCCCAAAAATGCATCATTGTTTTCACAGGCGTGTCCTCTCCAGTAAAGTTGAAACATACTGACAAAGTGTCTGTGTCCGAAAGGAATGACATCTGTGCTTTCTTGTGCGCAGCAAGTACCATGCATGCATGTTGATCCAAAGGTTTGTGCAAAATGCGAAAGTTCATCATCATCGTACGAAATGTGAACTGCTGGCCTACTGCAACAATGCCAAATTGGTCAAAGGTGAGACCGGACAGTCCCAAATCGTCAAGTTGCTTTTGGATGGGCTTTTGAACATCAAGCTGAATAAACAAGAGTCTACCTTCATTGATGCATGGTGTGGCAAATGTGTCGCAAGTCTCAAGGTCAGCAAGGTGAATCTGTCGTGTCATGAGCATGGCAAAACCATCTGGATTGTTCACACATTCCTCAATCTTGAATTGGTGATCAAACTGCCATGAAAGGTCACATGGTCGAACATTTGACACTGCCCAAAGTTCAAATTTCGTAATCTCAGTCAAGATTTGGATTCTCAGCATGGGCTGAAATGGCACGGTGCTCGAAAGAATGACCGGTTCATCTTCATCAATTTCCGTTGGCAGCGTGATTTGTGAGGTGTTGACTGCAGCTGTTTCAGGATGCATGAGTGTATCGTTGTGAATGAGGCCATGTTCAGGATGCCAGGAATGGTGCGGCTGCAGTCTGAAGTGGTCATCACGATTGTCAATCACATCAAAAGCTTGCAAATGCTTCTGCCAATCTCTTGTTCTGTCATTTTTGGGAACAAAGAACTGAGCTGTTTGGCTGGTAAAATGGTCGGATTCATCTGCTCTCAAACGATTCTGCAGCAATGTATGGAAAACCTCGGTGAGATCCAAATTGGATTTCAGGTTCTTGAGAGCTTTGATGCCATGAATCAATAGGAGAAGCGCATGTGGGCATGTGATCATATTACCAGCATGTTCCCATGATTTCTGCAAATCATTCGTCACGAAAGAGCAACCATATGTGATATGGCACATATGAATTTCCGCAGGATGTAGCAGTCGCAATTGGTTGTGTTCGTCTTGAAAGAAATGCCCATAGTATCCTTTGGTCTCCAAAGTGGAACGATTCAAAGCATGTTGCATCCCATATCTGGCCATGATGGTCGGGAACACTTCACTGCCAGTCTTGCATCTCATTTTCAAGAGTTCTTTGCCCGTTTTGTTTCTGTGTTCCTTCAAAGCAGGTGGCAACATTGTGGTATCCATGGCACATGAAATCATTTCCTGCGTTGTTCTGAGCTTGGTTGTATCTGGCACAGGGGACGCAAAGACAGATTTGAGGATGTCCGGAAGCAATTGTTCTACTTTTGGCCAATTCTCAAACTGGGGGATTTCTACATCTGAGGCATGCCTGCGTACTGCCATGGCCAACCATCTGATTCGTGTGACACATCCAAACTCAGCTGAGTCCAACACTCGTTGCCACAGGATTTGGTATCCTACATGCTTCAAAACATCCAAACAAAGCCTCTTGTGTTGGTGTGTTGAGAAACCCTGCACCTGTTCCAACAGGACAACTTTGGGACGCAGTTGACGACACCTAAGGATCATGGCTGGAAGGAGACATCCAATATCCGAATGCAAACCAGGTCCGGAAGAAGCTCCAGACCAGGGTGGGCATGGTGCAGAAACTGTCATTATGTGGATACCCCATCTGGCTGCAATGGGTACCCACACATCATCATCGGCATCAGCATGGATGACAACATCACATGTCAACTTATCCACATCAATTTCTGGCTTGCAATTGGTGGCTTCAACAACTACTGCATTATGCATCATGGCATAGTGGCAACATGCGTCAAGGCTTTCGTCCAAGGCCATGGTCATGATTGGAATGTTATATAGGTCTTTCAGTGCATTGCAGGCAACTTTCCAACCCCCATAACCCCCAGAAAAGGCTTCAAACACATGAATGCATTGACCTACGGGATCTTTGATTGGCAAGATCATCGTGGCATGATCTACGACCCATGCAGCTTGGCTCTGCAATGGGAAGGCATGGGAATCTACAACATTCCACAGCAACAACTTTCGGTCCTGAGGCAGCTTCATGTCATGAGGAATTTCAATCTGGATTGCACCCACAAAGGTTCGATCACACAAGTTGGGAAAACATCCGTCCTGGAACATTGCAAGGCTACCCCCTTCCACTGCAGTCTGAACACCATTGAAAAATTTGGAATGATCATGTTCGCATTCAACATCATGGAGAAGTACGTGATGACGATCTTTACACCATGGGGTACCTGGAGATCCATAAATGTCAAATTCCCCCAGCAAATGCTCCAATTTGGGAGGCAGCACACGAAACATGGCGAGGTCCAATTAGGCTGCCAGCGATGCAGCACACTCACACGTCGGGTACGTTTGGACCAAATGAGCACCTGAATTAAGGCCATTTGCGGGATTATTTCCCTTATAACCATGACTCCAGTGAGGTCCCAGTGAGGTCGTTATGATTTACTCAAAATTACCCTCTGGCTATTTGACATAGCCATGGAAAATCACCAATTTGAATAGGTAAACCACTATAAATGGGCCATTTCCCATAGCTATGTTAAATAGCCAGAGGGTATGTATTTTCAATGGCTGCAGCATAGGCAATGTATGATTTCTGGTGGGCAATGGCCAATGGCAAGGCTTTCCCCTCTCCTCCGTCAAGGGCCCAGGGCTCAGGTGGCGCCTCTCTCCCCGTTGCAAGGGCTCGCGGAGGAGCATCTGCTGCAGTCCTAAGCCCCAGATCCAAGGGTCCAAGGGGATGAAACTGCATAATTGATATCCAATTAATAGATATTAGTAGTAGTATATATATATGATAATAATAATAATGATAACAATAATAATAAATATATATATATATACAAAATACATAAATGATGTAAAATGACAAATTTCATCAAATTTCACCCCTCTTGATTGGCCATGGCATATGATTATATATGACTCACCTGCAATAGGTTGGCTTCAAAATTAAGTAGGGTTGTTTTGAGCCCCCTTTACTCAGCTTGACATGGTCCACTAAAATGCATGCATGGGCATGCATAGGCATTTCTTTTCTTGTTCGATATGTACATAATTGATTATAACTAGGTATTCATAAATTGAATATATATATATATATATAATGGATATATATATATATATATACTGGGTATATATATAATGGATATATATATATACATATTATTGTATGTGATGGATATCATCGGATATTGATTATTGATATGACTGCTTTCCACAACACGCTTCAACGCGAAGCAAACCTTGATCATGGAACATTGACGTGTGGCGCCATAAGCCCCTACTGAATGCTAAGATGTCACAAATATAAGTTGATATCAGGCTTATTGATTGAAGAATAAGAGTTTGAGACTCCCCTTGAGACTTGAGACATGATAAGACATATATATACATATATATATATACTGTAGCCTCCCCAAAAAAAGGGAACACCATTCTGTTTTGAAATGTATGGCACGGATTCACCATTCTTGGCCATTTCTTGGAGCATTTGTATGCATTTGTATGCATTTCTGGCTTCTCGACCAAGCATCCAGACACGGCCTGGAATCCCATTTGCTGACCGAAGTCCTGCCCGACCGCCAGAGCCAAGTCGTTCATCCGCTGCAGGCATCCGCTGAGCGGCTCCGGAGCGGTGTCCACGTGCTGGTCCAAAAAGGAGGCTTTGCACTTGGAACGTCGTCCCAGGACGCCCTCTTCAAGCTCCAAATGTGGCAGCGTGGCACCTGGTGTCAGAAACTCATAGAAATCATAGATACTGATGGGGGAATGGGGGCAGTTGGTAAGTTGATCCAGCCACAAACTGACAGCATATGTCTGGAAATAGTTTTATTTGTTTATAGTTTGTTAACGAAGTCACCCTTTTGATGCCACCTATCAGGCTTGGAACTGGGGAAGTGGGACGATGAAGACCTGCACATCTCTATGGTGTGGCCAAGCAAATGAACACTTCCAACTGGGTATGATATGTATGATGATGTACTAGACTGCCGAATTGGAGAAACATTGGTATGGCGTTTTATCATGTCTTATCATTATTGGATCATTTTTTGCGGCAGAATTTCCAATCATCGTCATTATTTATGAGTGCTTTTCCAGCACCCTGCAACTATCTCTCTGTTCAAACACCACGAACACCAGGCACCGGCCAGTTTTCGGGCGGTTTCCACCACGAGCTCCGATTGCTCCAGCTCCGGCGCACGGATCTTGCAATAGCCTTGCTGCCTCAAAGCACTGCCTCGGCCCCAGCCATGGACTCTATGGATTCAAAGCTGTAAAATCTGTGGAATTTATAGGCCCCCCCCTTGGCTCATAAAAACCCCAAGGGCCCCAGAAAAAAATACTATAGTACTTCCATGTTCGAAACATGGGAAGATGGGAATGAAGGTCCCCTACAACATCCATGGAAAAAGATATGACATTTTTGGGGGTCAAGGTATGGCAACTGGCCATAGAAGGTGGTCTCAAACAAAAACTTGGATACAGTTGGCATCACTTTGCAATTAATGTTCCAGGATATGTTGCAGATTATGTATTTGGATGCTGGTGCCGGAAACATCTCCATTTTTGAGGTTCAGTTTGGAGTAGTACCGCGGTACTCGTGACCAGTGTCAGACCTCCTGCATCCCAGGTTGAGCACAAGGGAACTTCAAGCACTTCAAAATGGCGTTGGTGGTCTGACTAAAAAGGAGCACATGCACACAATCACATTTGACTTCGGTTTGGACGAATATAAGTTCTTGCAGGAAATTAAATTGTATCAAATCAATTCAAATCAGAAGATAAAGGGGGGCAGTGTATAGATGCCTTAGATTGCAGTAGGCCTTCTATGCCCTACCCTTCCCATAAACAAAGACTTTGGCCTAGCTACATACGGATTGTGAGAACTCCGCAGAAATCACCGGTGGCAAGCTAAGCTCGGCTGCAACCAACATCGCCCCAATGGCAAGAATGATGGGCCGATGATGGATTTCTTTTTATTGCCTGTAATTACGTCTACATGAATGAATTTTGCTTCTGCACTGGAGTAGTAAGAAAGTGTCTCACTCGCTTGGTAAAAGGGAAAACCTTTTTGCTAAATACAAGTGCCTGTGTTCTGATAGCTACTAATTTGTCAATGGCGAGTCGAGCTCTATTCCTAATTTCCAAGTAATTATCTACTTTTCGATGTGGAAGCCACTTTTCTGGCCTCGCATCTGAGAACTTTCAGTTGCAATTTGGACAATGAGTGGGCTAAATTGGTTTTCATCTTTGGGTGACTCGAATTAAACAGCTCGAGCCATCTTCGGAACAATTCCGAGTTGATATTTAGCGATGTACATACGTATGTACATCATGTTCTGTGCCCAAAAAAGGGCAGTTGGACAGCTCCAGAATTGCTCTGGTTCAAACGGTCGCAAGAACAATTGGATATGCATGGGTATGCATGTTGCTAACTCTTTACGCATCCGGAGTCTGCAGAACCGGAAGCTGCTAGGTCGAGGCATCTAGACTAAGCCAACATTGGAGTTTGAAAAAATTCTGTCAAAAATATATACTGTACATGAGTTAACAAGCTATGAACAAGCATACATTTGTTCATGACCTTGGTTTCCGCTACATTCGATTAAAACTGACACAACTTCTCTAGCAATCCTCACCCCGCCCACCCCTTCGTCATGCAAAGAACCAGTCCAGCACGAGTCCAGCACCTCTGAGATCCCACGCATCCCATTGCTTCTCAGGAGTATCCCGAGAGTGGTGCACAATGAGATTCTCAGCTTTCCGCCTGCAGTGGCTGCAGATGTCAATTTCTGCCACTTGCTAAGTATGACATGCTGCAGTGATAATTAGTTAGATATGGCAATTGTATGCAATTGTAATCATCACATTTTCGGCCTACCCACTTTTGATTCATAGGGTCTGAATAGGTCACAACATCTCACAACTCTCACTTCAAGGTTGCCAGCAGAGCCCTTCCCGGCTAGGTGCCAGTACCAGTATATTTGCAGGACCTTTTTTTTTGGATATATAGATGACCAGAGACCAATATATATGGATATCTATGGTGAATCAATGGAACTCAGCTTAAGGCAAACCAGCCCTGCTTCGCCTCGAGCCCCCCAGCCCTGCTTCAACTGCCTCGAATTTCCTCCAGCACTGCGAGCTGCTTGAATCTCGGCCAGGACCTGGGGGCGGCCCCTTGGGATGGGCCTTACTGTAGCGGCCCGGTTCCGCGGATGTGTCGTGTTGGCGCCACCCATCACATCATTTAGCCAACAACAAACGCATGAGTATACCGCAGTATGAAGGGTCAACATCAGGAACCCCAAAATAGGATGATGATGGATGATGTTTGATGCTCAGGAAAAAACATGGTGATATGTTTTGATGTTGCTGCCCCGTGGGTCTGAAAATGAACGTCTTGTGCATTATTTTACCTAAACAGGATTGAACACGCAATATACAACTGTATAATATGACGCAACATGATACAACCCTTTTGTTGTCACAAACAAGCCCCAACGTTCGAACCTTGAGAAGGATGTCGGAAAGGCATCGCTGATAGCATGCAAGACCCACCTGGCTGAGCAAATCTTGATAAATCTTGTCCAGGAGCCTTTTGAGCCACATACCTACCTGAAGTATGGGCATGCTTTGTAAGTGGTTTCCGGCTCCCGGTAATTATAAAAGTTACATCCACTTGCTGACTTCAGTGTTGCTCCTGTCCGCCAGAGCTGTCAGTTGATCTGTGAATTTTCCAGCGGCCTTGCAACCATGAGATAGCAGCGCTGTTGCCAAACTCTTGACCTACAGATCCCCATTGAGGTGTGATAAGATGTGGGATGAATATGATGTTTGCATCAAATGGAAGCTACAAGGTTTGGGGTCAATTCTCAAAATTTCACAGAGCTCAAGTGAAGATGCTTCCGCAAGACTTCCTCCATTCGTCTCGCGCTTGCACACTTATTGGGTGAACTGAGACCCTGTAGGCAATACCCGTCATGCCCCCACGCCCGAAGTACATTGGAAACCAGATTCGGACAATTCCGCTACCAACCCTTTGCTGGTGGAAGCCAGGAAATATCCATCAACAGGTTTGTGGTTTGCAGAAAGAAGTGACGCAAAGAAGTTTGTTCAACATTTACGATTGTAATGATTGTAACATGTCAACTTGTTGCATCTTCTTGCTATGTTTCCCCTTCAATGACTGGAATCATTCAGCAATATCAGGCATTATATGTTTGCAGCCCTCCACATCCTCCACCTCAACCCCTGCAAGGCCATGACGGCCATGATTTTGACCGCTGCTCTCAGTCTGCTTCTAAGCAAATTGATTGGACAGAGTACACCAGCTGTGAACTAGATGATGGATGCCCAGTTGCTGCGCACTTTGGGTGCAACATGGTTCAACAAGGCAAGAGAAAACACAACTTGAAGGCATCAGTTCAGACATTGTTTTTTCCATGCGCAACTCTCGACACACATCATCTTCTTGCCAACTGATGTGAGGCCAAAAAAGCCTCAGCTCACTAGGACATTTGGCACGCAGGATCCTTCAGGCGAAGGAACCATGATGGCCGGGATTTTGGCCGTCGAAGTCATGTGAATATAGAAATGTAGGTTTCAACCAAAATAAAAAACAAAGATCACCAGCACCTGAGTACAAAGACCCGTGCTACATATCTATGAAGGATCAACAGGTATCGAAACACATCTAAAATCATCAAATGAATGAAGATCAATTCCAAACCCAGTGTTCTCACAGCAAGTGTGGAAAAAACTCCCTTTCTCTCTGCATTTTTCCTTTCATGGCCAAACTCTTCAGCGCTCACTATGCGAACCGCTGATGAATCTTGGCCCAACCAGCAAGCGGAAGAATTCTGAAGTCGCCTGGCAGGCTGCGTGGGCACAACTGTACAGCACATCTCACCTGCAAAGCGGGTCATGGTAAATCAATGTAAATGATAGATAACATAATCCAGAATTCCACTGCCACCGTCCAAACAGGTCCCCATCTGGGGTTTGGTCGGAAATAGGCTAAAAAACAGACCCTGCTTCCCATGATTACAACAAATCAAAGTGAATCTTTGTGCCCAACACGCCCCGCAATGGAGCGCTCTAGACAAACCACCTCGGAACCTCAGAAAGAGAACAATGGTATTTATAGATATTTTATTTATAGGACATTATAGGATTATATGATTCTATATGCTGTCTCAATCAATTAAACTGTCACTCAAAAAGGTGCCGGATGGTGCCGGCTACGCAATCTCTAAGACACCTGATTTCACCCTGCATCCCCCTGCAATCCCACCTGCTCCCGAATCCTTCGCTGGTTTTGCCGTCTCTTTGGGCGCCGGCGTACGCAGCTCTGTTGCTGCCGGGTACGCTGTTTCTTTGGCCGCTGGCGTGGCTGCTGCAGGTGCCGGTGCTGGCTTGGGCGCGGGCGCAGGCTTCGGGGCGGGCATCACACCATCGGTGCCACGGCGGGCAATCTCCACGTTGCGGGTGATCAATTTGGAGACTTCCCAGGCACGACGCGAATCCACCTGGCTGGAACTTTTACAACACGAAGAACACCCAAAACAGCCCCATAACTTAACCATCTCAATGATTTTAATCACCCAACACACCACGAAAGAACTTACAGGAACCACAAACACCACCACCAAAAATATCACCAGGCCACGACTAAAATCACCACCAACGCATCATCAACAACCACCACAACCTTCAAACCTAAACAAATCATAAGCAAAAGTACAGCCATTCTTTCTTGCCAACTTGGCGTTCAAACATAAACTGGACTGTACCATTTGACAGAGCCACGCGCTTACCTTACAAACACGCATGTAAAAAATGTCACTAATTCCATGTTCCAAAAACAGGTGTGTGATTCGAACGTGGAATGTGCATAAAATTCATTGAAATTCCATGCTGTCACTCATTCATATACCAATTCCATCCAATTCCAATGTTCAAACATGTCTATTGAATTCTATTGATACATATTGATACATATTGATACATCTACACTGCTACACAAACGTGCAGGCCTTCCACATGAGCTTGGTGAGAGTCATATTGCTTTGAAACATCGCCTCGGGCGAAACTTGGAAGGTGGACCATGGTGAAGCCTTGATCAATCCATCTCAGCCAAATTAGATCAAATTAGCATAGCAGGCATAGCTTAAACCAAGCTGCAATAAAGCCCTCCAGCGCATCCTCCCCAAGTTTGTGGTTCCTGGGCTGGAATTCAACAGTTGAACCAAGTGGAACCCTCATAGCCAGATGATGGGAGCCTTGTTTGAGCACCCCCCTGACATCTTGGTGAGTTGATCATCAAACCGCACAAAGCTATTGAAGCTGAAGCGACTTGATTATCGAACAATCTAATGAGTAGTTTCCGGGCACGACACTTCATGATGTTTACCATTGTTTACCAATCTTCAAGCACAAATTCCAAAAACCAAATGGCGTTGTTGGCATTCAAAGGCCTTGACCATGCTCTGACCTCAACCGGGAAATGATCCTCTTGGGGCTTCAACCCATCATCGTGGTGAACATCAATCTTTCGGGATCCCTCCACCAACACCGACCCCGGATAGAACAATATGGATATCATACAATATCGCTAATATATCGCTAATTGATTGAGGATGAACCAAGAATAGTCATCATAGCATGTCATAGCATGTCATAGCATGTCATAGCATGTCATAGCATGTCATAGCATGTCATAGCATGTCATAGCATGCCATAGCGTGTCATAGCATGTCATAGCATGTCATAGCATGTCATAGCATGTCATAGCATGTCATATCTGCCAGTAATCTGGCATCCATCCAATTCCACTAAGCAAGCCAACCTTTTTTCCCCATGAGTTAACGCCCACCACAGTCAGCTAACCCAACCTAGCACCAAGCTGCTGAGTCATCAGGTTCAATGTCTTCACGCTGTGGTTGCTTCGCAGCCCCTGAGCTAAGGAGATGACGCCCCTGGAGGACAAGTGATTCTGCCTCGGCTCACATGGGGGTCACATGGGTGTCACCTGGGCTTACCTTCACCTTGGATCATCTTGTGTCTCAAGCGGATGCCCCTTCGAAGTGAAACAGAAACATAGGCTCACAGATTTTCAGCCGCCTTGAGCTTCCAATCGACGCTAAGCACCCACCTACTTTGATCAAAATACCCTCTCAAGAATAATGGGTAAGATTCGGTAAGATGTTCCTTCATTTGTGACTACAACATACTACAACCACAATCCATTCATTAGCCATTCACCCAACCATTGACCAACCATTCACCAACCCAGTTGCTGCAAATCCAAGTCCTCAATGCACTGATTCTCGGCCAGCGCCTGCCCAAGGGCCTTGCGGCTGCAAGTTGGCTACGACTGAAACCACTGTTTGAGAACCTCATGCAACAAGAACTTGAGGGCATCCTGCGAATGAACGGCGCCCGCAATTTAGTGCATTAGGATAGGATCATTAGGATCAAATATCATTATAGGATATTATAGGACCTTGTTGACAAAATATGCATGGATTGCATGGGTTCTTATTTGGCTTTGGGACCTGGCTTTCAAGTGAGGGCTCAAGACTTGGCCTCAGCACCAGCGTCAGTGATCTCGCATTCCCGCAACACCAGAGTCCTGGGCCGCAGGTGGTGACCTAGCCATAGACCCTTGGAGAGAATGTGAGGTACCTGCTCCTAGGGGCAATATGCAAACCTAGCCTTATGAGTCCAGCAACACAGAGAGGGTTTGACAACAAAAAAACACACACAAAAAAAAAAAAATCAGAGCAAACAAAAAAATCAAACTAGAAAACCAAAACCACGGAAAAAACAAGAAAAAAACAAAAAAACAACACGCCGACAAGAGAAACAACAAAAACAAACAAAAACACACACAAAAAAAAAACTGAGAAAAATGCAGGTTTTGTTTTTCCCCACCTGCCAGGTGAGGGTTGTTAGATTTTATGTCAGTTGCCTCCTCCTCCTTCTCCTCCTCCTCCTCCGCCTCCTCTCCTCCTCCTCCTCGTCCTCCGCCTCCTCTCCTCCTCCTCCTCGTCCTCCTCGTCGTCCTCGTCGTCCTCGTCGTCCTCGTCGTCCTTGCTCAACTGCGACCCGCGATCCACAGTGTTCTCTGCCGGACCTCAACCACGACCATCCACGCCCAGTGTTCCCTGCCGGACCTCAACCACAACCATCCACGCCCAATGTTCCCTGCCGGACCTCAACCACGACCATCCTCGCCCAGTGTTCCCTGCCGGACCTCAACCACGACCATCCACGCCCAGTGTTCCCCGCCGGACCTCAACCGCGAGTATCCACGCCAAGTGTTCCCTGCCGGACCTCATGTAGGAAGATATGGGACAAAGAATGTGCAGAAGAAAGTTAGAAAGAATGTCAGAAAGAATGTCAGAAGATATGCCAGAAGATATGCCAGAAGATATGCCAGATAGAATGCCAGATAATATGCCAGAAGATATGCCAGATAGAATGCCAGATAGAATGCCAGAAGAATTGCCAGATAGAATGCCAGAAAATATGCCAGAAGATATGCCAGATAGATATGTCAGAAGATATGCCAGAAGATATGCCAGAAGATATGTCAGAATATATGCCAGAAGATATGTCAGATAGAATGCCAGAAGATATGCCAGATAGAATGCCAGAAGATATGCCAGATAGAATGCCAGAAGATATGCCAGATTGAATGCCAGAAGATATGTCAGATAGAGTGCCAGAAGATATGCCAGATAGAATGCCAGAAGATTTGCCAGATAGAATGCCAGAAGATATGCCAGATCATATGCCAGAAGATATGCCAGATAGAATGCCAAATAGAATGTCAGAAGATATGTCAGATAGAATGCCAGAAGATTTGCCAGTAAGAAAATGTATAAATGTCATGGTGGGGATCACATGAAGTAAAGTAATTTTTGTTTGTTGTTTTTCCCCACCTGCCAGGTGAGGGTTGTTAGGTTTGATCAGAGCTGTTCTCCTCCTCCTCCGCCTCCGCATCCTCCTCCTCCTCCTCCTCCTCCTCGCAGTCCAGATCCCAGTGGGCACCGCCGGACCTCCACCGCGAGCGCCAGATCCCAGTGGGCACTGCCGGACCTCAACCGCGAGCTCCAGATCCCAGTGGGCACTGCCGGACCTCAACCGCGACTTCCAGGTTGCGGTGGGCACTGCCGGACCTCAACCGCGACTTCCAGATCGCAGTGGGCACTGCCGGACCTCAACCGCGACTTCCAGGTTGCAGTGGGCACTGCCGGACCTCAACCGCGACTTCCAGATCGCAGTGGGCACTGCCGGACCTCAACCGCGAGCTCCAGATCCCAGGGCACTGCCGGACCTCAACCGCGAGCTCCAGATCCCAGTGGGCACTGCCGGACCTCAACCGCGAGCTCCAGATCCCAGTGGGCACTGCCGGACCTCAACGGCCAGATAGAATGCCAGAAGATATGCCAGAAGATATGCCAGATAGAATGCCAGAAGATATGTCAGATAGAATGCCAGAAGATATGTCAGATAGAATGCCAGAAGATATGCCAGATAGAATGCCAGAAGATTTGCCAGATAGAATGCCAGAAGATATGCCAGAAGATATGCCAGACAGAATGCCAGATAGAATGCCAGAAGATATGTCAGATAGAATGCCAGAAGATATGCCAGAAGATATGCCAGATAGAATGCCAGAACATATGTCAGAAAATATGCCAGATAGAATGCCAGAAGATATGTCAGATAGAATGCCAGAAGATTTGCCAGTAAGAAAATGTATAAATGCCATGGTGGGGATCATTCGAAGTGAAGTAATTTTTTGGTTTTGATTTTTATTGATGTTTTTTTTGTGTTTTCTTTCTTGTTTTTTCTTGATTTTTCTGGTGACTCTTCCTGTCGAGTTGTTTTTTTGGTGATTCGGTTTTTGATTGTGTTTTTTGTTTTTTTGCTAAAATCCACTTTCTCTGTTCTACTACACGGGGTCATAAACCTAGCCACATGGATTGCAACTTCTGGGTCTTCATGGCGCCAAACATGATTCGACTTTTTTCTGACTTTGTACTATTGCACGCAACACCACGCAACTGTGAGTGCTACTTATGGCTCCCGCCCAGTGCCAGTAGCATCCGATATCATCCGATTATTGATCTCCTAAGCTGGTTGACCTCGATTTCAGCTTGGTGGATCATCATGCCCCCCAAAGAATCACACATCATTTCACGTGGGACCAGCCATATCCTCAAGTACTGTTGGTTATACTTCAGGTATCCCCACTCTGGGTGGTTACAACATGTTCCAACCATGGGGCATTTCAAACATTTAAAAAAACCTCAGCCAGAGCCACCAAACCGCGGATCCCCGAGACCCGTGCTTGACCACCGTATTCTTCTTCAGGGCCTCCGAAAGGGCGATGGTATTCTCCAAAGACTTCCTGACCGGTGCCACTTGCGGCATTGCACAGGCATGCAGAGATCCACTTAGATCCACTGAGGAAACATCTTTGCACTTCCAAATTTGCCATCTACGGACGTTCTGGGGTCCGTATGGAAGAAATGACATCTTTATCCGTTTTCAAACAAGTTCATGCATCTATCCAATTTCTACTTGTTGTGCTCAGAGGCTCCGCCCGAGCCCTAATAGCCTAAGGTCCGGACATGCAAAAGGACGCATTCTTCGTCAAATCCAGCGTTTCACCTGGTCGGATGCAAAATTCAAAAAGGCCTCGATCCAAGCACGACACGGCCATCTGGGTCAAAGTTGGGGCACCCAACAAAGGATGGTTGCTGGGTGTACAGATACAGTTATACAGTATATATATACAGTATAATATATATATGTTGAATGAGCTCCCAGTGCCTTCATTTTGGTTCTCAGGGCACTATTTGTCAGAGTTATCCGCGACCTTCCGCGGGTCGCAGCCGGCTGCATTGATTGGAGGCATTGATTGGATCTTTGATCCCCCAGGGTGGGGGAGGACTAGGGCCAGTTCAGCTGATACAGCTTGCAGCATTAAACATGCTCACTCATGTTGAATGAGCTCCCAGTGCCTTCATTTTGGTTCTCAGGGCACTATTTGTCAGAGTTATCCGCGACCTTCCGCGGGTCGCAGCCGGCTGCATTGATTGGATCTTTGATCCACCTTCGACCAGGGCCTACAGTGTACTAAGAGCTTAGCTAAGCTTGTGCACAACTGTGCGCTGCTGGGCCACAACTTGCAAGTAAGTTGGCATGAGGTCCCGTAAGTCACAGATCCTCTGCCGGATTTCTGGCAGCAAGGCTGGAAGGATTGAAACTGCAGTGGTCTCCTGGAGGTAAAAAGACAACGTCTGCTGGTGTTGCAATCTCATACGCCAAAGCAAATCAGAAATACTCATACCCTTCTTATGGGCCGCAACGGCCCCACCGCCTCGTAGTGAACCTGGAGTCAGTCTATGCACTTTTGTGACACCGATGTGCTGCAAAATTTTGTCCCACCGATATCTGAAAGCTCCAGCGGTGCTGCCGTACAAAAAATCGTCGGCAGCTAAAGGGCTCCAAATGGCAGAAACAAAATGAACAACTAGAGGGTATTGAGATCTAGCACCTCTTCTCCGGGTCTTTGGTTCGTGAATTTTCACATAGATGACGAGGCTGTCATCCAAAACATCACTTGGCAGCAAAACGTCTCTTCTCCTGGCTTTGATGAACTCCCCTACCCTACAGATAGAAAAGAAACACCCCAGAAGTACAGCAGCCCACCTGTTCCACTGCCATGACACGGCCACTGTGGCCATAGCTCTGACTAAAGGCTCCGGCATGGGAGGACGATGTTGGATAGGCTCCAGCATCTCCCACTTTCTCACTGTGTCCCAGGCAGCAAACATGTAAAGACGCAACTGCGGATGCTCTCTCTGAACATGTGCAAGCAACTGTCTGTAGTAAAACAGGGGGCAGCCAGTCTCAAAAGCAAAGTACCCAAAAGCCACCAGCAAGGAAACTGCTAAGCTCGGCACGCGGAGCCAACATAAAAAGTCGGCGTTGGGACACTCCATCTCAAACCAGTCCAAAAACCGCTGCATGACTCGCGCTCTGATAGCTATAGTTGCAGGTTCTAGAAGCTCCACATCTCCCAAATGGATGGGGGGCCTTTGCCCCGGGGCGCGACGAGGCCCCGGGTGAGATGCCTCCCCAATCCGGCAAGAAGACTGCCGGGCGCAAAGATTCACGTCCAGCTTTCGGCGTTCGCCCAAAAAACCTGCATCCCTTGCTATCGCTCCAGCCAACATGTTGCACAATCCCCTCGGGTAGGGTTCAGCCAGTTTTGTCATGTTCATCTTTCTCTGTTTGCACCTCCCGCGCAGAACCAAATGGTGGCCCTTGCAAATACAGAACAGCTTCTGCCCGCCTAAGTGACTGTTGGTCCGAAACCTAGTTCTCTTTCGCCACTTTGTGCCGAAACGGCAAAAGTCCGCCCTGAAATCATCGACGCCAGGACGTCTCAAAACGCTGCTCCAGCTCAAGTCAGGGCGTCTCTGCCTCCACATCCAAGACCCATCAGGGTTCTCCACAAAAAAGATCACCCCTGCATCCAGGCACGCAAGAGTGATCTGCAAAACAAAAGCCAAAAAGTTGTTGCCCAGTTCATTCTTCAGCTGTTGCTTTTCTGAGCACCAATCGACCCCTTCGGGATGCTCGATGGTGCGCACTGGCGGTGTTATGGCTGTGCTGAATGACGCACAGACAGGTCCAGCTCCCATGGCGGCAAAGAGTCCTAGCCTAACTAGCCTTACTAAGTTGTGTTGGAGGGGGGTTTTACTAAGATCTTCCGAAACAGAGTGCTCAATGTCGAAAGTGAGGACCCAAGTTTTCGCGGTCCGCACCATCGCTTTCGAAAATCCTCTGCTTCCAGAAAAAAGGTCTAACACCCCTGGGCCGTCACCGATTGCCTCCTCCAAACTGGCGTAGCCTTCTGACCACAAAAACTGAGAGCTGTCAAACTGGCTAAGCTCAAGAAGCGCGCGTTTCTTCTGCGCCTCCGACTTCCATTGGGACTTCTGGCTCGCCTCCTCAGCTCTGGCATTGACGCTATCAGCGCCACTTCCGTTTTCTTCTGATTTGGAAACTGCATGCATCAAGTGGGTGCCTAGGCGCTCTCCGGACCGTGTCGCAATCTGCTGACGCCCGGTCGCGAACTTGCCGCCGGTCTCCTCCACCGGCGACTGTCGCTCAGCGCCCTGGGCCGTATGGTTGTGGGCCTGGCCCAGCCCGATCGCGAGCTCGCCGCCGGTCTCCTCCACCGGCGACTGCCGCTCAGCGCTCAGAGCTTCAACGTCACAAGGCCCGGCTCTCCACAGTCCAACCCCAGCCTCTTTGACTGGTGGTTCTAACCGTTCAACTGCTGCAGATCCTTTCTTCTTGTCGCCGGCTCGGCGTCTGGCGCGCTTCAAAGCTCCAGAGCTCGACAAGTCTACCTCCAACCTAGGCTTCAACTTCTCCTCTGGCGGCAGCCCAGTCATCTGGCTGAGGTGGCTGCCCAAGCGCAACATCTCCTTGTCAAATTCTCCACAGTCGCCCTTCTGCAGTTCTGTCAGCCAGCGAGGCTCATCCAGGCTGGGTTTTCGCAGATCCGCTTCCCTTGTAGGGTCGTCAGCAGGGTTGAAAGCCGACCTCAGAAAACCATAAAAAGGACGGGTGTTGAAGCGCACATGATCGGGTATCGACCTGCGCATCTCCTCGTTCAAAGAGCGGGAGGAAGACCTCCCTTTGACGAGTGCCGCCAGGCTGACCTGAGAGTCTTGCAGGTGCACATAATAGGACCCCGGCTGCTCCTTGCCTACTTCCTTCTCAGCGGCCAAAGCGGCCCGCATCTCTCCTATGTTGATGTGCCTCCTACTTCTCACTTGCTTTCCCCTGCCAAAACGCTCAAAAGCTTTTGCCTGCGCAATGGTCTGCCACGCAGGATGCATCTGGTATTCCTCCTCAAACTCTCCCCTCCCTTCTTTCTCATATAAGACTCAAGAGGAGAGAGCAGCTTGTTCCACATCCCTTTCTGCAAACCATACTTCTGCAGCTCCCGTGTGGCTGCACTGCCGATGCGCGTTCTGACTGCGGCTTCTGCACTGTTCGAGGCATCACTGCAAACAAGGTAAGGAGAAGGTACAAGGCGCATGTCTATGCAAGAGAGAGGAAGAAGGGCCAAAACGCACAGAAGCTCATCTCTCAAGTCGGCGCTGATCAGCACCACATCCTCCTCTCTGCGTCCCCGTTGGGAACCATAAATTTCTTGCAGGATGGACATAAACCTCCTACGCAGCTGAAAAATGGCAACCAGGGACCCTGCAACGACCTCCATCAAACCGACGCTCACTTTTCCAAGCTCCAAGACGCGCAGGATGATGAAGGCCAGAGGAATGGCTCGTTTGAGGTTGGGTCTCAGCAACCCCGCATCTCCGTCAAACTGAGCACCCCAAAAAGTCCCCAGTGCTTGATTGTAAACAGCTTTGCCTTCATGGCGAGGCAACTTCACCTGCTCGTACTGCTCTCTGACTTTTTTGATGATGGCCTCACAAGTTGAGCTATACCCCAAAACATCTCTTGGCACAGCCTCAACCAAAACCAAATCATCTATCATCAAGCCCGCTAGCCACCTCTGTCTGGGCGGCCGGGCTGCCAGGCAGATGAAATCCGCCAGGCGCAAAGCTCCTGTTCTGAGCAAAACGCCCAAATGAGCCACCTGCCCAAAACTGACTGCTCTATTGTCCCCCATCGCCATTGTGCGCAAACAGGGAACCAGAAACTCCTCATGCTGCAGACCAGGATGGAAACACTTCAGGTGCTCCACAAGTCGAGGCTTCACCTTCAGCTTTAAGGCGTTCCGAAGAACGCGGCTGGGACTGATGGAAAAGGCATGGTAAAACTCTCTCAAGTCCTCCGCAAACAACCTGGCATCTTCATTTGGCTCCAAGAAAAAATGCTGAAACTGCACTAAGGACCCTAGAGAGCGGATCCACACGTCAGTGTTGTCCTCCAAACAATTCGGAGGCCTGGCGTCCAGCACCATCCTGTCTCGCACTTCATCTTTTGGCACCGTGAACAGCCCATTCTCATAGCCCTGCCTGATGCTGCTGCTAGGCACCAAGGCGAGCCGTTCCACGCTGTCCAGCTTCTCAAGCAGAGCCAACTTGTCTCTGCGGGCAATCCTGACTTTCACCCGCGGAGGTGGCCGCTGGTTTAGGTCAGGGGCAGCCGCATGCGAGAGAGGGTCCAAAAAGACGGCCCTGTTCTCTTCATCCATGAACTCCTCCGCCTCAAAACTTGGCACGCCCCAAAAATGCAGGCGCGCGGGCTCCACTGCTTTTGCAAGATGGCCAGGCTTGAGGGCCATCTGACCGACCACTTCGCCCGGGTCTCCTCTATGACCCCAGTCTGTGTGCAGCACCTTCTTTCGTCGGTGCTTGTAGCGCTGCAGCTTCTCTGCAACGCTCTGCGCCTCCTCTTCTAACTTCTCCAAAACTGCCTCCACGTTCTCAACCTTTGCAGCAGCTCGGCCCATGGCTTCGCTCGTCACATCTTCTTCCAAGTTCCAAGCATCAACATGGTGTCGAAGGCTGCGGACAAAAGCCCACTGCGTAGAGTTCAAAGGGGTCCCCAAAGGTGGCATTGCTCTCCTCCAATGCACTGCCGGGGAACCCAAAAAGTTGAGCACCAGGACCAAAAAGTTTAGTCCCAGTTTGCGCGCGGCGTCGCGCTGAGTCCGGTTTGCACCCCTCCGGTGCATTTCCGGGAAAGGAGCCGGCAGCGGCCACATACTCCCTTCGGTCGCTCGCTTCTGAGCGCTAGTTGCCCTGACGTAGAACCATATCATAGAAAGCTTTGATCGCCCCTTGGAGAGGCAAGAAAAAAGTGAATTCCAAAGGCTGTACCCCTTGCAAGTGGTAGCTCCTGCACCAGGAGCGGCAGGAGCAGGCTTCGCTGCTCCTCCCTCGTGGCTTCCTAGTTTGCTGCTTGCTCCGCCTCTCCCGGCGGCTTCTTGTCTTTGTCCTTGCCTTTCTTGCCCTTGCCTTTGTCTTTGCCGTCTCTGCTGGAATCCGCCCCTTTGCCCGTCCCCTCTCTGGATGGGCGGTTGGTGGTGCTTGAGAGGCGCTTTCTGCTCTCTATGTAGGAATCGCGGGACTTCACCCGCCACATCGGCACCTCCTGCCACCTCTCGTCGAGCAGACGGGAGCTTGGCTGGTCCCATTGGTCGACTTGCCGCCGCTGCTGAAAACTGCTCATCGGCGGGGCTTCCTCCAACAGCACTTCCTGAGACAAAAGCCAACTGCCTCCGTCTATGGAGGTCTGGTCTGCTGCTATGACTCCTAATTAGTGCCGCTCGGGCTCTCGCCTCCTTGACTGCCCCGCTCCGCAGGGCATCCCAGATCCCGCAGAGAATCCAGGTGTATCTGATCGTGGCTGCATAGTTTCCCAGCCTCGACCTGTGCTCCAACCAAGCTCGTGCCGAGGTGCTCTGGACTGAGGCGCCCGGTGCACTGCGCATCACATTGAAGTCTTTTTCCAACAGACTTTCGACCGTCTCGTAGATGAAAGCGGGATCGCTCTGGAGGCAGGCTTTGAGCCTTTTGTAGACTGCTGCTTTGCCCTTGCCAGTGCTCGAGGTCGAACTCTCGCCTTCGGGCTCGACACCATCCAGCAAAGCTTCCAAATCCCTTGCTTTCTTCTCTCTGTCCTTTGCCAAAGTGCCCACGATCTTTGTGAGCTGCTTGACCGCTTGCTCGATGGGAGCTCCTGCAGCTTCCTCCTCCGTGGCGTCTTCCACCTCTTCGAACGCAGGCTCGGCTTCGCTTTCGCTCAGCGGATCTGCGGCGACGAGCTTGGTGGCGGCTTGCTTCGGCCGCGGAACGTCCGTCATCTTGTTGCCCTTGGCAAGAAGGCCGCTGAGCCTGCGAAGCTGATCCTCTGGAATGCCGGCTTCTCGCGCCGATGTCACCACTGCAGGGTCGAGGCCCGGCAAAGGCGGGGCTCTCAAGGCACTCTTCCTGGCTTCGACCTCTACCTTCTTTGATGGAGGCCTGCTGTTCTGCACCAGCTCGGCTAAGCTCGCCTGCACTGCTTTCATACCTCTCTCCATCTCTTGCATCCTCACTTCCATAGGATCTCCGGAGACTTCCTCTGCCTCCGGAGGCCCTTGTTCTTCTGCCGAGTGGAAAGCAAAATGCTCCTCCGACACCTCCACCAAACTGGGGCCGAACGGGATCAGCGTCCTGCCCATAACCTCGTCTTCTTTGTAAATGTCTGCTACCACATCCACGCCCCGGCCAGGGCGCACAGCCGAGACAAGGCTGGGATTCAAAAGCCCTATCCACAGCTTCATAACCTCCTCCGTGGCTTCCTCCGGCGAATCTTCGTACGCCGTCAGGACCTCCACCAAAATTGGCCGGCTCAAAGCCCGCTCTGGCAACATGCGTCTAACCACCAATCTGTTCCATACTGAATAGGGAACAGCGATCAGTAGCTTCTCTGAGTGAACAACAATGGGGACCAAATTGACTGCGTGCAGCTCTTCGGCTAGCACGTAGGTAAAATGAGCCACACTGTAGTGCGTAGTTGACAACCCTGACTCTTGCACCAAAAGAGCCTGGGCCACTTCAGGCGCGAGGCCTGCAAGCTCAGGCATTGCGAAGGGCTGCAGGCAGAGGGAAGTCCCCCGCAATCAGCGCCGCTCTAGCTTCCCACTTCGTAGGGAGTCCAACAAAAACTGAATCTCCTGCCTCACTGCCTCTCTTGCAAATCGCCTTCACCTCCTGAAAGGAAGTCAAAAACTTTGGTTCTGCCAAGGCCTTTCCTTCAAAATCCGCCACCACCAAATAGCACCTGTTTTGCAACTTCAAGCGATCACGCCCGGAGCTGCCCCTGGGCTGGCCCGTGACCGCCCGACGCAAAAACTTCCCAATCTCCTTTGCCAAAGCCAGCCGCGACTCAGCGTCCGCAGCTGCAACTTCAAAGGCACAAGCGGGGGTCTCAGCCTCCTGGGGGGTCTCAGCCTCTGTAATCAACTGAAAACTGTGGGGGCTAGAGCTGCCTCCTCTCACCCGCTCGAGCTCCGCTACTCGAGCTTGCAATCCAGCCACCTCTGATCTAAGCAAAGCCACTTCCAGCTTCAGCGACTTCTCTTCACTCATCCAAGAACTCGGGACAACGGTCGCCGAGCTGGTGGCAAAGGCGCCAGATATGAGCGGGCCCACCTGACCCAGGTAATCCTCAAAATGATCAGCAGGTCCAAGAGAGGGCCTAGCAAAATCCCAATGAAGATGCCAATCGCCACGGATGGCCAGTCCAAGCTCCACGAGACTGGTGGGAGCAGTGAGCACAACTCTGTTCCGGAATTATAGGGGCCCCAAAGTTTATTGTTATCCCCAAAATTTATATCCCTCAACACAGACAACAGCAAGGTCGAAAGTCCTCCGGCACCTGCAGCTGTGACTACGGGGCGCATGAGCCAGTTCAGCTGATACAGCTCGCAGCATTAAACATGCTCACTCATATATACAGTATATATACACAACAAAGGACTAACATCTGCGGTTTTCTGGGTCTAAACATACTTGATCCACTGGTTTTCACTCAGTCCGTCCTTTTCTGCTGGCATCTGTGGGATTCCTTCATGCCACCCAGGCTTCAATTCTTTGAACGATAATCGACGCTGAACTCAACGCGTAATTTGCCACCATCCAATGATATAGAAGTTAATTATATACTTAAGTTGACTTTGGTTACTTATGTGATAACTCATGATGTCTATTAATATATATATATATATATATGTACCATATATGTGTGTGGTGGTTGGAAAGGAGGTTCTATCCTCCACATCTTGGATCACCACAGGGCCTGGTGAATTTTGGGCCACGGCATCGATGATCTGGGTAGCCGTTCCTCGGCTCACTGCCCGGTCGCACCTATAAAACTATTGTTATCATTAATGTAGAAAGACTAGTCATAATTATCTTGGTCATAATCATCAAAAAAAACGATAATGATTTTTCTAATTGTTATAAACATAAGAGCAGTAATATATATACTAATTAACAATAATAATAATAACAGCAATAATCCCTAGTCTTCCCGGTAACCTTTCCCTTAGGTAGCTAGGCCTCGGCGACGGTTTTTACAGGAACCAGGTTGCCAGCGAGGAACCACAAATAGAAGCAACTAGTTTATCACAGTTCCACTCATTTTCTAACGATTCCAAGGTATATTTTCACGGTTCCAATGCGTTAAACGTCATGGTTCCGACATGTTTTGTCCCGGTTCCAATCGCGACATCAAACCTGGGTTCCGGAAACCATGTTTGGTTACCTGTCCCAAAGGCAACTGGATGCAACTGGAAGGTTCGGGAATAATAACAATCATCATCATAATGATATGAAATAATCAATGTCATGAATGTATTAATGCATATTAATAAATTATATGGTTCCTGGACCCAACGCCATCAAGAACATGGGGACACACGGTCAACCTGCAGCCTGGGGGCTCTGTCCAAAGACCGGCATCTCTTCTCTCCTGCGTCGCTATTATGTTGCAACGGAAGCAATTGAGTTCCTTCGAATGAAAACGGACCTATGACAAACATCGGCACACAGGACACAGTTCTGCCAGAATTAATGTCAATGTCATCTGAGTATATGTGAATCAATCGTTCCTAGCATGCGGCCCACTGCTCACATGCCCAACCACTATCCCCATTGGACCCCCGGTGGGTGTTGCATCCTTCGCAGTCGGCGTTGTGGCAGCCCACTGTGAGCCAAAAATGGCGCGATGTGGTGTCAATAGAGGTGGGGTTCTGGGTTTTGTCCCTCAAAACGTGTCGAACCATCTGAATCTCCAGGAGTCTCCATTTCATCAAACCCTTCCTGCTCCAAATTGATGTCAAATACCAGCCACCTAAGGGCATCCAAGAAACAGGTAAAAACGTATGCAATGGTACATAAATCCCATATTCGGTCGCCCAGAACCTTGGGATGTCTTGGGATTTTTTTACCAAAAAAGACCGACCACATCACCTCTGAGCCTTGTGGAGACCAACTAACTATAAACCACCATAGGCAGGGGAGATCAAAGATGAAGCAGCCGTTTTTTGCCAAGGCGTCTCACAATTGCCTTTGTTTAAACTCAAAGCGTTGAACGAATCCAGCCCAAACATGGCTCCGTCCCCGGGCCGTCTGCGGGTCCCGGCAGCGCAATTTCGAACCTCTGGCCTGCGACCAACGGCATTTATTGCCATCCATTGAAGCTATCTATAGCTATCTGGTTCTTAGCATCAATACCTCCATGACATGAAGATAGGTCATGCTGAGTCCTTGCGCAAAGCACTTGTCATGATCAGATCACCAACAATAATCGGTTCAACTTCTGGAGAATATATCATCCCCATCAACTCCTAGTTACGGACAGTTTTTGTTCGTTATGAGTTATACCCTCTGGTCAACTAACATAACTATGGGAAATCGCCATTTTTAATGGGTAAATCAACTATAAATGGCTATGTTCAATAGCGATATGTTAAATTATCAGAGGTTAGCCGCATTTACCATCTCCTCAACTACCATAAACCTGGTGGAATCGAGGATTGTGAAACAATTCTCGTTTAAAACTTGGCCATTCTCAAGGGCAAGCTGTCCAAGGGCATAGCTTGATATAACGCACCCATTGATTTGTATAGTTAAGTGAGAAGCCTATTCACATCATTTCACATATCATTTCACATCCACATATATATATATACACCTTTCGGTAAACTAGCATAGCTTTTGAAATTCACCATTTTATACCATTTTTAGATGATTTACCTATGAACAAAATGTGATGTTCCGTAGTTATGTTAGTTTACCAATTGGTAACCCATACAAATCCTGTTTATCTGGGTAGCTCCTGTGATCAGACGCCAAGGCCCGTAGCTGAAGAAAAATGTGAGCCTCGGGGTCAGACGTCTGCCATGGCATATGAGGGGCTTCACCGTGTTCACCAACGAAAAAGTGCTGATCTAAGCAACATAAAGTAGGATTTAAGATGCTTTAACCAAGAACAACTGGGATTTGGATGGATTTGGGGCATATTAACCACCAATATTTGGGGATATTAACCATTGGCATAGTGCTGGCAACCATTGTAGCCCACTTGGGAATATTCACCACCAATATTTGGAGATAGTAATCGATACCAACCACCAACAATCAACCAACATGCCATAGGGATATAATGCCACAACCTAATCATCATAAGATATCGTAAGTCATTGGGGACCACAAGTTGTCATACAAGTTATGGGTCATGTCATGTTTTGTTTTGGTTATTTATGGGAAAAGCCATGATGGGAAACGCCCAGGCCCATTTTGCAAACAACAGCTGCAACATAGAAGGGTGTGTATCTGAGATATCTGTATAGATATCACGTATCAGATCCTTCATAGTTACAAACCCTGATTTGTCTCCTTAAAGTGAGGGCATCATATTCCCAAGTGATGGTATTTTGGGCCATGGATGCCATGGCTTGTGGCCACAACCGATATAGCCATGAACCATGAAGCTCCACACTAGGGATGGTCCATCATCATTTTCAATGGCTCATGGCTAAACTCAATGGGCCGTTGTCCACCACTAAGGCGACCAACCCAGAGCTCTGCAAAACTGGTTTTCGTGACCTCAGCCGCCGTGGAAATCCACGGAGGTTTGAATGGGCAACGAATCTCCATTGCCATCTATGATGACTGGAGGGCAATTCACTTTTATATCCTGTGAGTTTTTATTTTCATTGTCATTACTGTTATTATGATTCAATGCCAACTAGATTTGATATGATTTGTTCAGGGCAAAAGGTGGGCTGATGTGGGGTGGATGTTAAAAAAACGAGATGAATCTGACGACTGGACGCTTCCGCTCTGAGTGCCACACATCACCTTCCTCGGCCTTGGGTCGCAAGCTGAGGATCACATTCAGGTGGCGTTGGGAGCAGGAAAGCAACCACATTTACAGATGATTTATGATGATTTACTTGTTAGAAATGGTGATTGTCCAAAGACTATATTTAGAATGGTTTATGTGTACCCTCCAATAACGTGGCAATTTTTCAAATCCCCAAGGAAAGTTCGATGATTTTCCCATTGAAACCATGATTCTCAGAGGGATGGACCTTTGGCATCCACCAGGCCCTAGCTGCCATGGTTAAAAAAATGTCTCCACTGTTCTGTAGCGTGGCCCCGTGGCTTAGCAAAGTGCAAATCGCGAAATCATTTCAAAGCTCCTTCTTTGGGCTATCACGGCTACAGCAAATCAACATGTTCCACTCTCAATTTTTCAGGGATAAATCCAAATCTTGAGTCCATTTGAGTCTCAATTTGTGGATTCGCCAAATGCATTTGATGGTAAAATCCTCCATTGGTTGATCCATCCACCGTTCCAGAC